ATGAAATATTAAAGTTTATATGATGGTTTGAATGGTAGAAATGAATTATATGAGTGGTTTATTTGATATAAAAGTTGTAAATGGGTGATAGACATATGATTTTAATGTTTTAGATGTGTAAATAGCATGAAGTAAAATGGTATGTATGTAAATTTCCCTTTAACTTCGGATTAATTGACCTGTTTCTAATCTCCTTTCAGAGTCCAACAAAGCGACGAGAGAATGGTAGAAATGAATTATATGAGTGGTTTATTTGATATAAAAGTTGTAAATGGGTGATAGACATATGATATTAATATTTTAGATGTTACATATGTAAATAACATGAAATAAAATGGTATGTATGTAAATTTCCCTTTAACTTCGGATTAATTGACCTGTTTCTAATCTCCTTTCAGAGTCCAACAAAGCGACGAGACACCTATGATCTGGGAGATGCTTCTCTACCTCTACGTTCTTTACTCACCAGACTGGCATTACAGGAGCACAATGCCAACTTTCTTGTTTCTTTATGCTGCTGGCTTCGCAATTACCCATTCACTACTGCGCCTGGATGTCCTATTCAAGGTACAATACATTCTCCTCTGTCTTCTCTGTGTTCCAAGAATGTATAAGTACTACATACACACTAAAGATTCTGGAGCTAAAAGGATTGCCAAATTCTATGTTGCGACATTTTTTCTGGGTGGCCTTTGTTGGCTGGTAGATCACTTCTTCTGTAAGAAGCTTTCTAGTTGGTATATAAATCCACAGGGCCATGCTTGGTGGCATGTGTTCATGGGATTTAATTCTTATTTAGCAAATACTTTTCTAATGTTTTGCCGAGCTCAACAACTTGGATGGAATCCACAGGTGGCCCATCTGTTTGGATTGTTTCCTTATGTTAGGATTGAGAAAGCCAAGACTCAGTGATTTGTGCTTGAAAACTGAGATTCTGTTTTTGAAATTTGGAAGTTGGATTTGTACAAAATATTGATGTTCATCTAATTTATGAGGTTTTAATATCATTTTTTGCTTTGTAATGTTCTTCGAATTATATTTTGTTCCAGGTAGGTAGAAATGCATAAGGGAAGTTTAGAAAATGCATCTTTTTGGTTAACAGTTGTTGCTTGGAGTGCATGTTTTTTTATTTTTTTTTCTTACAGTTTTCCTCTTATTTGGCTTTGCCAAATCTGAGTCTTTGAAAATGCTTGTTGTGGTTGAAACCTTTACGTTGGTTATCTAAACTAATGACTTCTGCACAATCTTGAGTTAAACTTTGCAGCTATCAAATTAGAGATCAAAGTTTTGTTTGAGGCGGCTTTCTTAATGCTTTCTAAAATAGCTTTTTAATACAAAAATTTCTAGTGTACTAAAAGCTGCCTTAGAAAGCATTAAGAAAGCCGCACGAAATGAAACCTAAGGCTTCGTCTGAGACAGCTTTCTTATTTCTTTTGAAAGCAGTTTTCTAGTATAAAAATTTTTAGCTAAAAAACTATTTTAGAAAGCAGTAAGAAAATAATCTCAAACTAAGCCTAAGTTTCATAAGCCGGGGGATTATAACTTTTATGCATTTCTTGAGTTAATTTTGTGATCTTTCACCTGATAAATTATACCTGCTGTTGTTTTCTCCCAGTTGATTTATATGATCGATTGTCTGCTTCCCTGTGTTCTGTTTGGTATCGCCACCTGCATTATCTTTGCAACTCATATTTTCTATAGCAAATATATTATTTATTTCATATTAAAACATAAATAAAATAATATATAATACATAAAAAATGATCCCAAATCATCCCTTTGTATTCTCATTTACAAAAACAGTTAAACTAGCTGTATGTCATTCCTTGAGTTCGACCGAGTAAATATGAAAACTTTAAAATAAAATCCATCTTCCAAGGCTTAATAAATAAGAGAATTTGTAGGTAGTTAAACTGCTGGCTTATAGCAGTAGCTGCATTAATCTTTGTACCTCCCTAACCTTCAAAATTTTCTCATAGAATAACCCATAACTAGATTTTCTCTCAAGAAGAACAGAATGATTTGCAAAATGAAACAAGAGCTTAATTAAACTTCTCATTTCTTCATTGGCGACTAAGATTTCTGTTTTTTTTTTTAGTGCCAACTAATTGAAACAATCTGTTTTCTGTTAGGACATGATAAGCTTGAGTTCAGAAGGTTATTCAGTGGGTTTATGGCGATATAGCCTGTGTGCATTGCCGGTGGTAAAAACTGCTGGTGTCTCATGAGAAATTATTCTGTGCGGAGTCCGGATAGGACGAACCATACGGATTGCTGCGTATTTATTAAGTATTTGATGAGTATTTATAAATACTTAGTAAATGCTCAATAAATACATAGTAAATCAGCAAATACTCATAAAATACTCAGTGAATATTCACAAACTACTCATCAAATACTCACAAAATATTTAGTAATACTTACAAGTGAGTATTTGCTGAGTATTTACAAATACACAACAAATACTCAAAGCTACACAGTAGTAGAGGAGATTGTAACCCTGCACAAGGCATAATTCTTATGCCTCATTTGGGGCAGCTTTCTTGTTATTTTCTAAAGTAGTATTTAATACAAAAATTTATAATAAAAAATTTGTAAAAAGAAGTTATTTTAGACAGTAATAAAAAAGCTCTCCCAAATGAAGCTTTAGCTTGCTAGATTTGTCATGAAATTATGCAGTAGAGTTTTAACATACAATATATTATTTATAATGCTTGGATGGATCTAAAAAATTACTATCTTATTGAGCATGGATTTTGGCATGAAGCTCAGATATTTCAACTAAGCAAATAAGCTCAGAATAATGTAGAGATTCACCATTATGTTGAACTAGCTTATTTCTTTAAAATGGGTATTCGGATCAAGTTCTAATATGTTTTTTGAAATATCCTTGAAATGATTGGGCTTGTTTCTTGATTCAAATGTTCTTTCAACTTTGATCAAGAAATGAATAGAAAGCTTAACCTTTTATGATCAAATAACTTAGCCTAAATTATGCTCCCTCTAAATATATGCGTCAAAGTAAATATAAAATCAAATTACAATATTTTCCCACCTTTTTCCAACTCCCAAATTTATCATCAAAACAAAGGAGAAATATGAAGATTATGGTGGTTGAATGATTCTGCCTATTTGGATCTAATGTGCCCAATATACTCCTCAAAATGCAAAAATGTTTCTTTGTGTAATAATACGATAAAAATATCACTTATTTGAAGATATGATCTGTAATGAAATAGTTTCTAATTTTAATTTGCTTGATTTTATGAGTACTAAATTAAATTCCTAATCGTTGTTGTTATCACACTTAATTGAGATATATTTTAATCTAATACTATGATATTCTAATTATCATTTTAATTAGATTCTAATTACTACTCCGTAGTGCTCATCTTAGTTTTAGCGCATGAGATTGATTTTCGTCAAAACATTCAGGTCAATAAAAATCACGGCAAATATTGAAATAGTAAAATTTCACAATGTATTCATTAATGGATTAACTTCTTTAATAGTTTTATTGCTATGATTTGGTAATAATTGACCAGAATAAATTGCTCTCGTAATAATTTGCAAATCTTGTGCAAAGAAACAATCGATCATTTTCCTTCAAACCTCTAGTGGATATGCTATTGGAGTAATTATTATGTCCGGATACCGAACGCGTCCAGAGACTAATAACAAAGCGCGATGTCACCTGGGCGCTCGGTACCGAGCACTCAGTATCGCTCGGTATTTGTCCGAATTTTCAATTTTTTGTCCGGACATAATAACTTTCCCTGTTTTGTTATTGATCCCACAAAGCTATAGCCCTGCCCTTTAATCTACATGCCACCAACTAGCTTGTGCGCCTGACTATCCATAAATTTGAAAACAATTCTAAGCAATTCTAAGCTACAGCACAGGCCCCAGCCCTTTAATCTCCATCATTTTGCGCTTAAAATTAGGCAGTTCTCATCGAGAATAACATTAAATGATATTTAAGAGTAACCCACTTGTGTGTTTCACCGCTCGTTCTAAAAAATTAAATCTAGGTTCATCTGAGCTTCGATTTCATAAAACTTATAGTCAAACTGAGCATCTCAGAAATACGAACCCAACGACACCAAATTCAACTCAATCCGAGCCCAAATGCCTCTAAATCAAAGACCCGATATGATGTTGGAAGGTTCAAACCACAATTTGGATTATCAAATGGTTTCCAAACATGACATGCTTATAGTCAAATTGAGCGGCTCGACGAGATGAATCCAACGAGCCCAAGATCGTCGAATTCTGATATCGTTAAAACCTTCAAATGTTTGACGAACGGTCCACGATCAAGGGATTCCATATCGACCGTCCATCCAAACCACTCCTCATTTGCCCTTGATCCTCCTATTTACGGGTCATGCTATCCTCAAAAAACTATAAATATCCCCTTATTTCTCTTAAGAGGGGACCCAAGTAAGAAGAAGAAGAAGAGAAGAAAAGGAGGGAAGAAGCTCCTCCTCAACCACCGTCGAAGTTCCGCCCGACTTTCAAGTGATGCCGGAATTCTGCCCGACTTCCAAGGGATGCTGGAATTTTTCCCGGCTTCCAACTGACGCCGGAGTTCCGCCCGACTTCCAAGTGACGTTGGAACTGCGCCCGATATCCAAGTGACACCGGAGTTCTGTTTGATTTCCAAGTGACTATGGGATTTCGCCTTATTACCCAACATCATCGAATCTCAAATTCTTGATTGTAACTGAATTTCGACCATGGAGTTGATTATTGTAATATGATCGTCCTAAATTATAAGGACGAATCAAACTCTTGTACTTCAAGCAAACATTAATGGAATTCTCTCAACAGGGCGTGGCCCCATGGTTTTTCCCTTTCCAGGGTTTCCACGTAAAAATCCTGGTGTTTTTATTTCTCTTTTGTTTTTGTGTTGGATATCCATTTAACGCTGAGACGATAAAATTCTAATTCTATCGCCGCATATAATATATCTCGCAACATATTAAAATGTAAAAACTAAATTTCTTATTTCTTTTCCACAAGAACAAATCAATTGCCTACACTCAATACCATATTCATTGAATATTCTCATTTACATTTCCCTTTGGCAGGTCGCGGCTTTGGTTTCACAACAACACCCGATGTCATCTCAACATTGACGTCTAATGTCGTTACAACATCAAAATTTTAAAACCATCTCAACATCAAAGTCTGACACTTTCTAGATATTGATGCTTGACGCTTGCAATTTCTACACCCACAACTTGATAGCTTATCTTTGTCCGACATCATCTTAACATCGACGACCAACACCATCTCAAGATCAATGACATAATGCCCTCTCGACATCGACGTCGACGTCGACACTCGATACATACTACATAACATTAATTCCCGACTCTCAACTGCATTGTTGTCTTCTCTCTCGATGTATGAATCTAGAAATTGACATTAGACTCTCGACATCCTAATATTAATCAATTTAAGCACAAATTCTATATAAATGGCTTATTGTTTCTAAATTATTTTTAATATTATGCTTATTTAATTTTATACATTATTTTTAAAATATAAAAATTAGAACACCATGTCTCTATTCTAAATATTCAATAATTGACACGTGTGTATGTGTTGTATTTGTGTCGCCGTTTGCGTCTGTGCATCATAGGATACAACTGAAATCCTTAAAGCCTATATGGTAGGTTCTTCGACTACATCATTATGATCTTCTCCACATGTAGTTAATCAGGAGATCAAAACTCTGATTCCAACTTGTTGCAATAAAGAAATATCAAAGCTAAAATGAATTGGCTCAAGAAGTAATTCCCTAATGAAAGCTTGAATTTTACTCAAATAACACAAAACAGATAAGTTTTTAGCCTCTTTAAAAATAAAAGGTGCTAAAAAGAGTATGTTAGTTGGCCAGGGAGAGATTATTCTACGCGGTTTTCAAATGTTCAGAAGTTAATCTGAACACGCGACATCATCCAATACGTTCTGCATTAGACAAAGTAGCACATCCGAACATTGCACATAATAATTTTTTCAAAAAACAGAAAAGTTAGACTAAACCTGCTGGTATATTAGCTGTTTTAAGAAATAGCAAATAAAAAAATCCTCCCAAATTAAATTTAAATTGCCGATTTTAATAAATTATCATTCTTTCATTTTTTTTATGCAAATGACCTATAGATTTTTCATGCAAATTTTATTACTTTGATTAACTCTAAATTTAAATTTCAGAATAATTTATAATTATAGTTCATTAATCTAATTAATATTACATAAAATAGGATGCAGCGGGTGGCCGTCGAACCTGATTTATCTAAAGGAAGAATGACAGAAAGATAAGAAAGAAGAAATTAAAAAGTTAAAAAAATATACGTGATATGATGCAACTTATAGCTTGCTGAAGCAAAAGAGTAATTAATTCGAAAACTTTGTCGTGATTCCTAAGACATTAAGAAGCTTTCAATTTATGATTTCCGATGTTAACTAAAATTTTGTATTTATTATCTTTCTTACGTTAAATTATTGTGCTGACATCCAACAGTCCGAAGATCATGTAAAACGTGCCACATCACCCGATACATTACAGTACCGAGCACTAATACCGAACATAAAAATGACGCGACACATTCTAATTAATCTCCAAACGCCATTCTTGATCCATACAGAATAATATTTCGAGAACACGACTCGAACAAAGGCACTACATAAGCATGCTCACCCATACCCTAAACTACATTGGCATTATCATTCCACGCCTCATGCAGAAGAACATATGATTATATAAAAAAAATGTTAAATAATCAGACTAAATACAGCTATTAAATTGGCAATAAGAATTTCATCATTTTCAGCACAAAATTAGACTAAAACCACCAAATCCAGACAGTAAATGACAACGATAAAGGATTGATAACAAGTATGCTGGGAGAAATTATTTTGTGCGGTCACCGGATGTTCACCAGAGACGAATCAAGACGCACCACATCACTTTTTTATTATTTACCGTTGTTTATCCGGTGAAGTGGCACATACTAATTCGCCTTCAGCTGTTCCGGCGACCGCACAGAATAATCTTCAAAAGATAATACAAAACCAAAAGAGAACAGATACAAAATGCTAGTGATATCATGGATGATAAAAGAGAGAGCTTAATTAGCTGTACATAATCATTCATCAGGCAGCTAATAAACTTTAAAGATAGAAGTAACAGACAGATAAACTGCAGTAGACATTTTTACATGCATGAAAGGAAAGGAAAGGAAGGCACAATTCAAAGTTCAGCCTAAAGACGAGCAACAAATTCAACTACTGATAAGCACACAAGCAAATCCTACCATTGTAATTAGTCCCTACAAAATAAGCAGTATTGGTCGTTTAGGGTTACCAGCGTTGTAAGCACTTTGGGAAGTTAAGAGAAACTTTCTCTACCGATAATAAGCTTGCTGATACACAGGAGGAATGCCATTGCTGTAAGCTCCCATTCCGCTGCTATAACCTGCGTAGGTAGGATAGCTGATGGGAGGAGATGGATAGGGAGCACTGATTGCGGCGGCGGCGGCGGCAACCATCTCTTCAGCCGGGTAAGCATAAGGATCTCTCATGGCTGTAGGGCTGTGACTGCCATAGAAGCCATGGCATGCGGTCCTTTCATAAGGGTATGGGGAAAATGGAGCAGAAGAGTATGTGTTGTGTGAGGGTGACCTCACAAATGTGGGGGCAGGAGCAGGAAATGATGAAACATAGGCATTGTTTGTGAGACGGCCTGCTTTCGCCGGAGGCATTGGGCCGCCATTATTGGCACGTGTGCGCTTGTTGGCCGGACCACCAGATGTCTTTCTCTTCTCGGCCTTTGCCTTCTCCAGATTTTCTAGCCTCTTCAGGAGGTTTTCTAGTGGAAATTCAGCTTCAAGCTTGTGCTCCTCAATGCACTTCATAACAGCTCGGATCGCCGATTGTTCCTTGCGGCTGGTATTGTTCTACAATATCATCAAATTGAAAACATTTGTATAAAGTTTTTGTAGGCAATATATGTGATGTTAATGTGTTAACAAAACATACTGCAGCTTGGACAGTGTTGTTTCGCTCCTCTGAGATCAAAGCAGCAGCCTTCTTGGCATCCTTCAGGAAGGATTTCAATAGAGGAACAGGGGGATACTTGTCCTGAAGTCCAGATTCATAGGCAAAATTTATTGCATCTAGCTGCTGTCCCTTTAGAATTAACTCTTCAACAATATCTGTAGATCAAAGCATAATATTCTTAGATAAAACATCTAAACAACCAAAGCAGAATTTTGCTTACAAGACAGACGACATGCAGAAATGCTGATCACACAGATCCACCATGTATTTGCCCAGCAAAGACTGGTTCAAACAGTATTGCAAAAATATCATCGCTCAAAGGCCAGGAGTGTAGAACAAAGCAAATACTGTCCAAAGTATTTAACAGATAACAGACCAAGCATAAAAATCAAATGGCTTACCAGTTTAATATTTAGAGAAGTCGACGGTAATGTGAGGAATGCATTTACAACAATATAAAAATTATAAAAAAAAAATCACAAATATGGCCTAACGGCATCAATGATTCAACCTCAAATGATAAAAATGACATTTTTAGTTTTAAAACATGATCAAGTGACATAAAATTCCCTACTTGGTATGGTAAATTCTTTGGATGTAGTTAACCTACAAAAGTTTAAGTTAAACTTAATACTAAATAGTAAAAAAACCTCCTTAAGTTTATAAGTGCAAAGCTTATATGACCAGACATAATTAGCAATGAACAAAAAGTTTAAAAAGCTTATATATATATATAGAGATCATTTTTATGGAATATCAACTCTATGATGAAACACTTTAAATGAAGTCAAGGGAAAGGATGAGATCAAGGTTTTAAAACACGGTTTCAGTCGGATCATAAATATTTTATTTTTGGTTTTGGTAGGATCTATTGGTTTCAGGATTTAGTTTCCGTTGTAATTTCAGTTACTTTTCTATTATAAAACATTACAAAAAGAATATTTAAGTTATAAAATAAATAATTGTCTAATTGGAGCTCAATTTATAATACAGGTGAAAAATAATGGAACATTAGATATTGAATTCTAGTAGAACTTTAGCAACTACTTAGGAGTTTAGGAAGGTTTCTTCAAAACATAAGTTTCACGTGAAATTCACCAAGACTCAGTTTTAAAACCTCAACTTTAGCCGAAACACAGAAGTAAACATAAACCAAAAATATTAAATAGTAAAGAGTTTCATATAGGTTTTTACCGAAACAAAAGCTAAGTTTCAAGTCAGTTTCAACTGAAGCAAAACCACCAAAACTTAAAAACAAAGTTGAGAGCAATCACCTTGTGGGAAGATGGTTCTAGCATGCTCTAGGATACAAATTTTGCTGCTTTGCTAAAATAAGAGTTAAGATCAACTCATCAGGTATTCAAGAATTCCAACAGGTATTCAAGTCAGTTTCAACTGAAACTATAGCTAAACCACCGAAACTTAAAACAAAAGTTGAAAACAATCACCTTGTGGGAAGATGGTTCTAGCATGCTAAACCTCTAGTATATGAATTTTGCTGCTTAGATAAAAAAAGACTAAAGATCAACTCCTCAAGTATTCAAGAATTCCAACAGGTACTTATATAGGTGATGTGCTATAAGTTCCTTTCTGCATTCAATACACAGAACTCTACCCATGACAGGAAGAAACGGGAACTTTTATAGCATATATTTGAATTTGATTCAGTAGTAGAGAAAGCCCGAGAGAATAATGCCTTGTGAAATGAGGAAACAGAAGAGTTCAACTCGGCCAGGTGCGTCAAGCTCAGTCTACGGCTTATAAGACCTACACTCTCAAGGAGGTAGTTCATGAAGATGTAATATCTCATCCCTCAAGATAACATATAAAGTTTATAGAAGAGGCTGAAAGAAAAATTTCACGCAAGGTCAAATGATCGGCAACAAGAATTGGTCGAAATCACTCGTGGGGCTAAATTTCATAACTTAACTTTCCATGATTATAATCGTTCCAAACCACCTACAACATGAACATTTTAGCTCAATTTCGGACCTCAAAGCATCCATTTCTATCTATTACAGAGGCAGCTACATTATAGGTATAAAGGATAATCTAACCCACGAGTTCCATGGCCCAACAAAGACGGTTGTATTATAACAAAAGAATACCTACAAGCTATTTGTAGTCCGTCCATAATCCTCACTGCCATCAAGCTTAAATTCGTGTAATTCTCAAGAGAAAGAGAAATAAAGCATAAATGACCAGACATCAACAGACCGGCACTATGAAGCAAAAAAAAAAAATCAGTAACAATGTTTCCATACCGCTCATCTTATCCTCCAGCCCCAGTGCCATAGCAAGCTTTGGCATTTGCTTTCTCCACGAAATGCTCACCACCAACTTCCTATAAAACTCCCTTTCTTCCTTCACTCCAATATCAAACGTCACCAGGTGCTGCAGGAAAGCATGCACATCCTGAGCCTTGGCATTCTCCACACCACCACGCTGCTCCATCTCATCCTTCCATGCATCCGCCATCTCCTTGGCTCTCTCTTTCACAATTCTCGTCACCAGCGACCTCTCTGCCCCTAGCTCCGGATCAGCCAACGCAGACACCAAGCCCTCCAGCAGCAACACACAGACCCACCCCAAATCCCCCGGAGGCGACCTCACAGCTCGCCGATCCACAGGGAAGATCCTAGCAATCGCATCCATAACAAATTTTGCAGGATCAATGGACTCTTTAAGAACAAGAGGTATCTCCTTGCGTAGGAGATCTGATTCCTTCCTACTGGAGACAATAAGGTCAAAGAATGAGTCGGAGTCCATCTTAGAGCAAAAGGTACGGAGACGGGCTGTGAGTTCGGCTGCGTCGGCTGAGGAAAGAGAAGATAAAGAAGCGGCTCGGAGTTCTTCTACACGAGCGATGGCGAGGTCGACGGAGCCGTCGATTGACTCCTCTCGGCGGTGGAGAGAGGCGAGTTTACGCTGGGTGTGGAAGTCGAGGGTGCGGCGCTTGGAGTGGAGGGACTCGGACCTGAGCTCGAGGCTTCGCTCGAGGGAGGAGAAGTGGTCCGAGAGCTCCTTCCAGAGGGCAGTGCAACTGCTGATCAGCTCCCGTTGACGATCCAGCTCCGCGAAGCCCGCCTCCACCGCCGACGAGTTCGGCGTAGTCGAAGCAGCCGACGCCATCGCCGTTATCGCGGCTACAGGGAGATCGCCAGCACCCAAACCCTAACCCTAGCAAGCGGGCAAAAGAAGAAGGGGGTCGAGGAGGATGAAAAGCAGGATCGAAGAGACGAAAAAGTGATAGGCGGGGCGGCGAAATTGTACGGGACGGAAACATGATAGTGGGGGGCACGTGCCGGTTGCTGTTTATAAAGAGAATGATCCTATAACAAATCCATTTCAGGAAGAAAATTCTTCTCGATTATTACCGTTGAAGATCCAGCCTTTCACGATCTTTGATGCATAAGAAGCAGATCTCTCTCAAAATAATAGCCTTATGGCCGTCCTCTGGCATACGATGCAAATCGTAAACGAGCAGAGGAGGGATGAGAGCAGCATAACATGCTGGGTAAATTGACTGGCTTTGGAAATGTTAGTGAGATATGTAAACCTACGTGTGTTCAAACTCAGTCACGCCACCGAGAAAATAGATAGCCACTCGGGAGATGGGCCAGGCTACACTTGCTTCAATACGGGCTCATATGGATTTATGGTACACATATACGAATATGACCTTACGGATATTACATAATATAGATATGGGACGCCTCAATTATTAAAAATTAAGACAACAAGAACAAAATTGTGTAATCTATTATAAAAAACTTTTAAAAAAAGGTTATCAACCTAAAAAATTAAAAAAATATTTAAGAAGGATTTAAGAAATTACCTCTCGTCATTATTCTTTATGCTGGCCAACTCTTTTCACAATCTTGATAAATCGTGAGGGGCGTTTCGTTTGTTAGTTAATTTGCTCTTTTATTTTCTGTCGTTGCGTCATCTGAAGCTCGAAGGTCCAAGATCAAAAATCCAAAACCCTATCTTCCTCTTACCTTACTACTTATTAAGATGAGTGATGCAACATTTTATTTGATGATTTTAGCATGTGATTTGTTTTTTTTTTTTTTTATTGCAATTTTTCTTTTTGTTCTTCTATTGATTTGTCTTTTTGTTCTTATACAATTGGGAAGTGGGCTTTGTAATAATTCGTTGATTTGCAAAAGTGTAGCGAGTAGTTACTTCTGGCTTAGATATTTGGTTAACAGCGTCTTAGCTCTTTTGGGCTAAAAGCTAATTTTCAATTATTTTGGAGAAAATTAGGTTAAGATATGTTTTAAATTTTATTTTAAAAAATGTCTAAATATATAAATAATGGGGGATTTATGACATGAATAGATAATACTAAAACATATATATTCAAAAATATATATTTAAGTGAATCACAATATTCATATAGATGTTTTGGTTAATATAATAATTAAATGATTTTTATCTCTTTTATTTATTGATGGGCATCCTTTTTAAAAAAAAATATATGTAGCATTATCAGAAAATGCAAAATAAATGTCGAGAGTCGGGCATCCAAATGCAAATCAATGCAAATTTGTAATTTTTTTTACATTCAATATATAATGCAATATCAAATATTTTAATTATTATATATATATATAATATATATATATATATATATATATATATATATATATAATATATATATATATAATATATAATATATATATATATATATATATATATATAATATATATATATATAATATATATAATAATACAACATAGTTTGTGTGTGTGTGTGTGTGTGTGTTTGCTTCCCCCCCCCCCCCCCCACAATAAGTCGTTTAACTAAACTTGTGCTTAAAATAATTAATATTAGGATGTCGAGAGTCGGGCATCGATGTTATGCAGTAAGTATTTGACGTCAATATCAAGAGGGTGTATGTTGTCGATTTTGAGAGGGTGTTGGTCGTCAATGTTAAGATGATATGTCAAATTATAAGTATAGAAATTGCTAGCGTTGACCATCAATGTTACGATAATGTTATATTTTAATGTTGAGATGTTTTGAAATATCGATGTTGTAATGACATCATATGTCATTATTGAGATGGTATCAGATATTGTTGTGAAATCAAAGTCGCGACCGCCAAAAAGAAATGAAAGTGAGGATATTTGATGAATGGGGTGTTGAGTACCGGCGATTGATTTGGTGTTGTTGATTGAAAATATGAAATTTAATTTTTATATTTAAAATAAATAAATATTTTAAAGACAACAAATTATATTTTAAAAGATTTATAAAATATTTAAGGCATGTGAGTTCAATTTGTATTAAATAGTTTTTTTAATCGAACATGTTTTCAATGTGTTTGTCACTTGTTGGAGGTGTGTCTGACGCATGTCGTGTCGGATATGTGTCGGATGTTACACGTCTCTTTGAAAAGTGTCAGTACATCATAGCCACTGATTAATGGGCATTCTATACTATAAAATCTTATAGATAATAACTATTTTATTGATTAAATTTGGAATATATATATAATCATTCTATTATCCTTCTTAATAATATGTATGTTGACTTAAAATCCCATCAATTAAGTATAATTTGTCATAAAATTAGGATCCTAATGCATCCTAAATTTAAGTTAAAGGTATCTTAAAATTATTTAAAAATCAAATACATTTGACTTTTTATAACTTAAATGTCCTTCGATTATTTAAATTTGAGCCCAAATATGTTAAAATAAGTAGAATAAAATAAATCATGTTAACATAGATATCATAAACTAAATAAGAATACACAAAGTAATATCACATCTTTTTACTTTCACTTCCTCTTCTACTTCTTATCAAATGTGTTTCATGCCATATGCACTCGTCATATTTTTATCTCCTAGCATTAACATCCATTGTTGCCCAACAATCATCTTCTAACTACTTTCGTCCACAATTAATCAATATCAACGACCATCATCATTGTTCACCTTCACTTATAATATGCCAATATTTACATTCATCACATCTCATTACTATTTCAAGAATTTCCATTGATCTTATTGAAGGTCAAATTGATAATCCAAATATTATCATCTCGTCCTATTTAGTTATGGAGAAGGGCAAAACTCTATAATATTCATCAATATACTAGATTATTTTAAATTGATTCGGCCTCACAGTTTTTTTCCTCAGAGTTTTCACATCAAACCTTTTATATCTCTAAAGAGTTTCTTTTATCTATGTGTATGTAAACCTTTGTGTAATACTAACATAAAAATAATTAATTTATCATCACAAATTTTCTAACATTACTAATATGCTTCATATATTATACTGAATTTATGGAATTATGTTAGTTATGATAATTAAGTATTGATTATTTAATTATGTTATACCTAATTATTTGAAGCATAGTGTTGATTCTATTGAATTCATTGCATTGTTTCTTACAGTTGAACCAAGCAGCTCGATGAGACGAATCCAACAAGCCCAATATCACTCTATTCTGACATCATTAAGGCATTTAAATATTGAAACAATATTTTATGATCAAGATAATCAATATGGATTGTACAATGGAGTGCTTTGGATTTTAGGTAAAATTACCAAAATTGCTTTTCTTCTTTTTTGTTCTCTATTGATTGTCTTTTTGTGTTCTTACTACAATTGGGAATGTGCGGCTTGTAAATAATCGATTTGATTTGCAAAGATGAGCCGATAGTTACTTCGTATGCATAAGATATTTGTTATACTAACGTCTTTAGCTTTTTGGGCCTAAAGCTGAATTTTCTCCCAATTATTTTGGAGAAATTAAAGTGTTAATGAATAGTATTTAATATTTATTTTTTAAAAAATTCGAGATTATATAAATAAATTGTAGAGCTTAATCATATGAATAGACGTATAGACCATAATATATATCAAAAAATATATTTTAAGTGAATAACAATTTTCATATAGATGTTTTCGCTTAATATCATAATTAAATTGATTTTAAATCAATTTTTTTATTGACTGGGCATCCTTTGTTAAAAAAATTTGTAATAGTAGAATCTGTAGATTTTGTAATTTTTTTTACTCACATATTATAATGCAATATTCAAAATTTATTTTGAATTTTGTATTGGCATATATTTTTAGTTTTTATAAATTTCCGCCCCCCCCCCCCAACACACACACAACAAAAAGTAAAGGTTAATTTGCCCTTGGATACGACATAGATTAGGCTATGGTATATAATTTTATATTTAGAAATCTGTTATAAAAATTAAATTAAGTTTAATATTAAACTCTACAAAAGAATCGCTACTAACATCTACAACTCTTGTCAAGATTTGTAACCA